GCAGCCCGGGGAGCCCTCCCAGATCCCGGAGCCCGCGGAGAAAGGGACGAGCCAGGATCCCGGGATCCGCGATGCCGGGATCCGGGATCCCGGGATCCGCGATGCCAGGATCCAGCTCCGCAGGGCGCGGCTGTTCCTGAGCTCCAGCCCCGCCCCGAGCCCAGCCCCGGTTTCCCGGCACGGGGCCGGTGCCAGCTCCCCCCCGTGCCGTGCCAGCTCCTCCCGGGCCGTGCCAGCTGCCCCCCGGGCCGTGCCAGCTGCCCCCGTGCTGTGCCAGCTGCCCCCGTGCTGTGCCAGCTCCCCCCGTGCCGTGCCAGCTCCTCCCGGGCCGTGCCAGCTCCCCCCGGGGCCGTGCCAGCTGCCCCCGGGCCGGTGCCAGCTACTCCCGGGGCCGGTGCCAGCTGCCCCCGGGCCGTGCCAGCTCCTCCCGGGCCGGTGCCAGCTGCCCCCGGGGCCGTGCCAGCTCCCCCCGGGCCGGTGCCAGCTGCCCCCGGGCCGGTGCCAGCTCCTCCCGGGCCGGTGCCAGCTGCCCCCGTGCCGTGCCAGCTGCCCCCGGGCCGTGCCAGCTCCCCCCGGGGCCGTGCCAGCTGCCCCCGGGCCGTGCCAGCTCCTCCCGGGCCGGTGCCAGCTGCCCCCGGGGCCGTGCCAGCTCCTCCCGGGCCGGTGCCAGCTGCCCCCCGGGGCCGTGCCAGCTGCCCCCCGGGGCCGTGCCAGCTCCTCCCGGTCCCGCCCTGGGCTCTGTTTGCTCGTCCCTTGTCGCTCCGGGATCCCGGATCGTGTCCCGGCGGCTCCGGGAAGAGAGCGGAGCCCCTCGCTCCTTTCACCCCTGGAATTTGGGACAATTCTGTGCCCCTTCCTGCCACGTCGCCCTGTCCCCTCCTGTCCTTGCCACGGGACGGGTCCAGCCGGGAGGGTCCAGAGCCACTCCGGGGGTTGTGACAGTGGCACAAAGGGGGTGACAGCCCCGTGGCCACCGTCCCTGCATGCCAGGGCTGCCCTGGCACCGCCCAGGACGGGGTGCCCTTGGCACGATCCCGCTCCGGGACAGCACACTCGGGACCGGGGTGCGTTTTTGGGGCTGGTTTCAGCCAGGGCCGGGTCCAGGCCCGGGATTCGCGGCAGCTCCGAGCTCCGGCTGTCCCGGGAGAGCCCGGCCCCGCCTGGGTGAACATTAACCCGGAATTAACCCAAAGGCTGCACAGAAATCCCGGTTTATTTTTTCCCAGTCTGCTGGAGGAGGGGACGGGTGAGGGCTGGGGGCTCGCGGCCCTGGGACAGGCCACGACAGCGGCGACACGATTTAAGTTAATTAAACAACAGCGGTAACGAACTGGGAATGGAGCACATTCCACAATTCCAGCTAAAACAGGGAGGGAGAGGTGGCAGCGGCTGGACAGGGACAGGGATGGGGACAGGGGGGTCACTGGGGTCACAGCCGGACCTGCACGATCATTAACACGATTAATTAACCACCAGAAGCGGCTGCAGACGGATTTGGGGACACACCGAGGTGAGGGCAGCTCCAAAGCCATTCTCCAGCACACAGCGAGGGACAGGGACAGGGAGAGGGATGGGAGTGGGGGACACAGCCAGACCCTGCAGGATCATTAACACGATTAATTAACCACCAGAAGCGGCTGCAGGCGGATTTGGGGACACATCAGAGTGGGTACACCTCTGGAGCCATTCCCCAGCAGACAGCGAGGGACAGGG